GGGGCCGTATTGGTCTCAGTCCGCCAGATGGGACATGGGATTCATTATGGACATGATAAGGTCTCACATGCAGCCAGTAGGGCGAGCTCCCACCTCCATTTGTATTTACCCCATACTGTGTATATGTAATGAGTCAGAGCTCCTACCCTCCAGAGCAGTGACTCCTCCCCCTCTAGAGCAACAATCCTTTCCCTCCAGAGCAGTGACTCCTCCCCCTGTAGAGCAGTAATCCTTCCCCTCCAGAGCTGTAATCCCTCCCCTCTGGGACACCTTCTTCACCAGAGCAGTGACTCCGCCCCCTGTAGAGAACCAATCCTTTCCCTCCAGAGCAGTGACTCCTCCCCCTGTAGAGAACCAATCCTTTCCCTCCAGAGCAGTGACCCCCAGCTCTTAATGGCAGTGACCCCCTCCCCCACCAGAGCAGTGACTCCACCCACTCCAGAGCAGTGACTCCCCCTCATAATGGCAGTGACTCCTCCCCCTCCTCTCTGCGTATGCAGGTTGTCTCCATAGTGATATAAACCGTCACTCGAAACTCGAATAAAACCGACTCGTTTCCCCTTTAATAATGTCCGGAACTCCGCTCACAGTTCGATCGGTCAGAAGCTGTTGTCTGTCCTCTGAGCGTATCTCTGACATGTTGCGGGTGCCGGGAGTTTGAGTCCGGGATGTTTTACAGCCGCAGCGAAGAAGAATGTGGCCGCGAGACAAACTTTCCCGTTTCATCGTCCCGATCAATCTCCCGGCCCGTCTGCGGTGTCAGCGGCCATTATTAATCGGGGGAGAGAAGCCGAGTCATCGCTCCTCCCGAACATCTGATGAGGGAACGTACGGCTCTCCGGGGACTTCCCCCAAAATGTCCGACACTCTCACAGGGGATGGTGGGGACTTCCCCCAAAATGTCCGACACTCTCACAGGGGATGGTGGGGCGCTTCCCCCAAAATGTCCGACACTCTCACATGGGATGGTGGGGACTTCCCCCAAAATGTCCGACACTCTCACAGGGGATGGTGGGGACTTCCTCCAAAATGTCCGACACTCTCACAATGTCGAAAATGTATTCTACAGTAAATTAATAATGAGGGCTCCTAGAGTTCTCCGGACCCGGAACATCACAAGAAGCCCCTCCCCACCCTCTAGTCCATCCCACTATGTGACCCTGTGTTCTTCCTGCAGACGGTGCTGGTTATCTCCTACCATGAGCCACAGAATCCCGAATATCGCATCTTCCAGAAGAACCTCATCCAGCGCAGCAAGGAGGAATTCGGGGTGACCCTCAACTATTCTCTGGTAAGCAAATGACCCAACAGTGACCCACCCACAACCCAACAGTGACCCACCCACATCCAACCACAACCCAACAGTGACCCACCCACAACCCAACAGTGACCCACCCACATCCAACCACAACCCAACAGTGACCCACCCACAACCCAACAGTGGCCCACCCACATCCACCCACAACCCAACAGTGACCCGCCCACATCCAACCGCAACCCACCCACATACACCCATAACCCAACTGTTGGTCACTGTGGGGGGTAGGAAAGGGGGGAGGAGTCAGTTGAATGGATTTGCAGTCAGTCTAATAGGTAGGGGGAGGGGAATAATCTGGATTCTCTTTGTCCTCACAGAAGAACCTGATTGCGGGGTGCTTCTATGACGGGGTGCTGCTGTACGCTCACGCCTTGAATGAGACGCTGCAGGAAGGAGGATCACAGAAAGATGGGATTCGGATTGTACAGAAGATTCAGGATCGCACCATGCAGGGTGAGGATCATCCCACCACATGGCACTGAGCCTGGGGATGAGGATGACACAATCTTCAGAACACTCAGGATGAGTACACACCCTGCAGAGCATTGCTCTATACACCCTATTGCTGCTCTACAGAATGATGTCATGCTTTTTAGGGTTTTTAATGTAATAATGTTGTGCAGAGGTCAGAGGTCAGAGGCCCCATAATGAATTAATGGGAAAGGGCCGATAACCAATAAAATATCAAAATGAAATACAGAACAAGAAAAATGTTCAGTGTCTTCTATGGATGGCTCCTCAGGGGCAGAGATCACTGTGTTCTGTCTCTGTAGATGGCTCCTCAGGGGCAGAGATCACTGTGTTCCGTCTCTGTAGATGGCTCCTCAGGGGCAGAGATCACTGTGTTCCGTCTCTGTAGATGGCTCCTCAGGGGCAGAGATCACTGTGTTCCGTCTCTGTAGATGGCTCCTCAGGGGCAGAGATCACTGTGTTCCGTCTCTGTAGATGGCTCCTCAGGGGCAGAGATCACTGTGTTCCGTCTCTGTAGATGGCTCCTCAGGGGCAGAGATCACTGTGTTCCGTCTCTGTAGATGGCTCCTCAGGGGCAGAGATCACTGTGTTCCGTCTCTGTAGATGGCTCCTCAGGGGCAGAGATCACTGTGTTCCGTCTCTGTAGATGGCTCCTCAGGGGCAGAGATCACTGTGTTCCGTCTCTGTAGATGGCTCCTCAGGGGCAGAGATCACTGTGTTCCGTCTCTGTAGATGGCTCCTCAGGGGCAGAGATCACTGTGTTCCGTCTCTGTAGATGGCTCCTCAGGGGCAGAGATCACTGTGTTCCGTCTCTGTAGATGGCTCCTCAGGGGCAGAGATCACTGTGTTCCGTCTCTGTAGATGGCTCCTCAGGGGCAGAGATCACTGTGTTCCGTCTCTGTAGATGGCTCCTCAGGGGCAGAGATCACTGTGTTCCGTCTCTGTAGATGGCTCCTCAGGGGCAGAGATCACTGTGTTCCGTCTCTGTAGATGGCTCCTCAGGGGCAGAGATCACTGTGTTCCGTCTCTGTAGATGGCTCCTCAGGGGCAGAGATCACTGTGTTCCGTCTCTGTAGATGGCTCCTCAGGGGCAGAGATCACTGTGTTCCGTCTCTGTAGATGGCTCCTCAGGGGCAGAGATCACTGTGTTCCGTCTCTGTAGATGGCTCCTCAGGGGCAGAGATCACTGTGTTCCGTCTCTGTAGATGGCTCCTCAGGGGCAGAGATCACTGTGTTCCGTCTCTGTAGATGGCTCCTCAGGGGCAGAGATCACTGTGTTCCGTCTCTGTAGATGGCTCCTCAGGGGCAGAGATCACTGTGTTCCGTCTCTGTAGATGGCTCCTCAGGGGCAGAGATCACTGTGTTCCGTCTCTGTAGATGGCTCCTCAGGGGCAGAGATCACTGTGTTCCGTCTCTGTAGATGGCTCCTCAGGGGCAGAGATCACTGTGTTCCGTCTCTGTAGATGGCTCCTCAGGGGCAGAGATCACTGTGTTCCGTCTCTGTAGATGGCTCCTCAGGGGCAGAGATCACTGTGTTCCGTCTCTGTAGATGGCTCCTCAGGGGCAGAGATCACTGTGTTCCGTCTCTGTAGATGGCTCCTCAGGGGCAGAGATCACTGTGTTCCGTCTCTGTAGATGGCTCCTCAGGGGCAGAGATCACTGTGTTCCGTCTCTGTAGATGGCTCCTCAGGGGCAGAGATCACTGTGTTCCGTCTCTGTAGATGGCTCCTCAGGGGCAGAGATCACTGTGTTCCGTCTCTGTAGATGGCTCCTCAGGGGCAGAGATCACTGTGTTCCGTCTCTGTAGATGGCTCCTCAGGGGCAGAGATCACTGTGTTCTGTCTCTGTAGATGGTTCCTCAGGGGCCGAGATCACTGTGTTTTGTCTCTGTAGATGGCTCCTCAGGGGCAGAGATCACTGTGTTCTGTCTCTGTAGATGGCTCCTCAGGGGCAGAGATCATTGTGTTTTGTCTCTGTAGATGGTTCCTCAGGGGCAGAGATCACTGTGTTCTGTCTCTGTAGATGGCTCCTCAGGGGCAGCGATCACTGTGTTCCGTCTCTGTAGATGGCTCCTCAGGGGCAGAGATCACTGTGTTCTGTCTCTGTAGATGGTTCCTCAGGGGCAGAGATCACTGTGTTCTGTCTCTGTAGATGGCTCCTCAGGGGCAGAGATCATTGTGTTCCGTCTCTGTAGATGGCTCCTCAGGGGCAGAGATCACTGTGTTCTGTCTCTGTAGATGGCTCCTCAGGGGCAGAGATCACTGTGTTCTGTCTCTGTAGATGGCTCCTCAGGGGCAGAGATCACTGTGTTCTGTCTCTGTAGATGGCTCCTCAGGGGCAGAGATCACTGTGTTCTGTCTCTGTAGATGGCTCCTCAGGGGCAGAGATCACTGTGTTCTGTCTCTGTAGATGGCTCCTCAGGGGCAGAGATCACTGTGTTCTGTCTCTGTAGATGGCTCCTCAGGGGCAGAGATCACTGTGTTCTGTCTCTGTAGATGGCTCCTCAGGGGCAGAGATCACTGTGTTCTGTCTCTGTAGATGGCTCCTCAGGGGCAGAGATCACTGTGTTCTGTCTCTGTAGATGGCTCCTCAGGGGCAGAGATCACTGTGTTCTGTCTCTGTAGATGGCTCCTCAGGGGCAGAGATCACTGTGTTCTGTCTCTGTAGATGGCTCCTCAGGGGCAGAGATCACTGTGTTCTGTCTCTGTAGATGGCTCCTCAGGGGCAGAGATCACTGTGTTCTGTCTCTGTAGATGGCTCCTCAGGGGCAGAGATCACTGTGTTCTGTCTCTGTAGATGGCTCCTCAGGGGCAGAGATCACTGTGTTCTGTCTCTGTAGATGGCTCCTCAGGGGCAGAGATCACTGTGTTCTGTCTCTGTAGATGGCTCCTCAGGGGCAGAGATCACTGTGTTCTGTCTCTGTAGATGGCTCCTCAGGGGCAGAGATCACTGTGTTCTGTCTCTGTAGATGGCTCCTCAGGGGCAGAGATCACTGTGTTCTGTCTCTGTAGATGGCTCCTCAGGGGCAGAGATCACTGTGTTCTGTCTCTGTAGATGGCTCCTCAGGGGCAGAGATCACTGTGTTCTGTCTCTGTAGATGGCTCCTCAGGGGCAGAGATCACTGTGTTCTGTCTCTGTAGATGGCTCCTCAGGGGCAGAGATCACTGTGTTCTGTCTCTGTAGATGGCTCCTCAGGGGCAGAGATCACTGTGTTCTGTCTCTGTAGATGGCTCCTCAGGGGCAGAGATCACTGTGTTCTGTCTCTGTAGATGGCTCCTCAGGGGCAGAGATCACTGTGTTCTGTCTCTGTAGATGGCTCCTCAGGGGCAGAGATCACTGTGTTCTGTCTCTGTAGATGGCTCCTCAGGGGCAGAGATCACTGTGTTCTGTCTCTGTAGATGGCTCCTCAGGGGCAGAGATCACTGTGTTCTGTCTCTGTAGATGGCTCCTCAGGGGCAGAGATCACTGTGTTCTGTCTCTGTAGATGGCTCCTCAGGGGCAGAGATCACTGTGTTCTGTCTCTGTAGATGGCTCCTCAGGGGCAGAGATCACTGTGTTCTGTCTCTGTAGATGGCTCCTCAGGGGCAGAGATCACTGTGTTCTGTCTCTGTAGATGGCTCCTCAGGGGCAGAGATCACTGTGTTCTGTCTCTGTAGATGGCTCCTCAGGGGCAGAGATCACTGTGTTCTGTCTCTGTAGATGGCTCCTCAGGGGCAGAGATCACTGTGTTCTGTCTCTGTAGATGGCTCCTCAGGGGCAGAGATCACTGTGTTCTGTCTCTGTAGATGGCTCCTCAGGGGCAGAGATCACTGTGTTCTGTCTCTGTAGATGGCTCCTCAGGGGCAGAGATCACTGTGTTCTGTCTCTGTAGATGGCTCCTCAGGGGCAGAGATCACTGTGTTCTGTCTCTGTAGATGGCTCCTCAGGGGCAGAGATCACTGTGTTCTGTCTCTGTAGATGGCTCCTCAGGGGCAGAGATCACTGTGTTCTGTCTCTGTAGATGGCTCCTCAGGGGCAGAGATCACTGTGTTCTGTCTCTGTAGATGGCTCCTCAGGGGCAGAGATCACTGTGTTCTGTCTCTGTAGATGGCTCCTCAGGGGCAGAGATCACTGTGTTCTGTCTCTGTAGATGGCTCCTCAGGGGCAGAGATCACTGTGTTCCGTCTCTGTAGATGGCTCCTCAGGGGCAGAGATCACTGTGTTCTGTCTCTGTAGATGGTTCCTCAGGGGCAGAGATCACTGTGTTCCGTCTCTGTAGATGGCTCCTCAGGGGCAGAGATCACTGTGTTCTGTCTCTGTAGATGGCTCCTCAGGGGCAGAGATCACTGTGTTCCGTCTCTGTAGATGGCTCCTCAGGGGCAGAAATCACTGTGTTCTGTCTCTGTAGATGGTTCCTCAGGGGCAGAGATCACTGTGTTCCGTCTCTGTAGATGGCTCCTCAGGGGCAGAGATCACTGTGTTCTGTCTCTGTAGATGGTTCCTCAGGGGCAGAGATCACTGTGTTCTGTCTCTGTAGATGGTTCCTCAGGGGGCAGAGATCACTGTGTTCCGTCTCTGTAGATGGTTCCTCAGGGGCAGAGATCACTGTGTTCTGTCTCTGTAGATGGTTCCTCAGGGGCAGAGCTCAGTGTGTTCTGTCTCTGTAGATGGTTCTTCAGGGGCAGAGCTCAGTGCCTTCTATGTAAATGGTTTTCAGGGGCAGAGCTCAGTGTGTTCTGTTGATGGCTCCTCAGGGGCGGAGCTCAGTGTGTTCTGTCACTGTACATTCTTCTGATTCTGTCTGCTCCAGTTTTTATATATTCCCCCCCCCTCCCCCATTGGTCACGCCGAGGATTCTGGGAGATTCTCATGTCTTCTCTTCACAGGTGTCACTGGCACAGTCAGCATGGACAAGACCAACGACCGCAACATCGACTTCAATCTCTGGGCGATGGCTGACCACTCCAGCAGCCATTTCCAGGTCAGTCACTCACTCCTATCACCTGTCTGCATGTCGCCCACATATACCCCAGCACAGCACCACACAGAGCATAGTACGGGGGTGAGGAGTATACAGTATATAGCGGGGTGAGGAGTATACAGTATATAGCGGGGTGATGAGTATACAGTGTATAGTGGGATGATGAGTATACAGTATATAGCGGGGTGAGGAGTATACAGTATATAGCGGGGTGATGAGTATACAGTGTATAGCGGGGTGATGAGTATACAGTGTATATAGGAGGGTATACAGCATATAGCGGGGTAATGAGTATACAGTATATAGCGGGGTGAGGAGTATACAATGTATATAGGAGGGTATACAGTATATAGCAGGGTGATGAGTATACAGTATATAGCGGGGTGAGGAGTATACAGTATATAGCGGGGTGAGGAGTATACAGTATATAGCGGGGTGATGAGTATACAGTATATAGCGGGGTGATGAGTATACAGTGTATAGTGGGATGATGAGTATACAGTATATAGCGGGGTGATGAGTATACAGTATATAGCGGGGTGAGGAGTATACAGT